TTATTTGAATAATTTTTCCCTTTTCAACACAATTTTGAGATGCCAAGGCTTCTGTCTTTGCTAACTTATTTTCACGACCTCTTCTGACATTGTTGAATAAGATCCATATGTGATGAGAAAATCATAAGCTCTGATTGCAACTTTGGGAAAGAGAATTAACCGAAAAGGAAAAACAGATTAACTAATATGGAATGTCTATTAAACTTGCTGCATGTAAATTGTTGAAGTTGCTCTGGTCGCTAAATTTTGTTGCAGCTTTTTGACATTCAACCCAACATCTCCCCCTCCCAAAAGGCCATTACCTAACCCGCCCTATCTTTTCGGTCTTCATTTTCTTTCTTGTCATGTCCTATCTTTTTTCCTTGTGTTCGGTTACCAGATTCTTCTATATTGACATCTTCTCCCTCCCTATGGTGTCAAACATGCAAACCTAAACAAAATTTATGCTAACAATTTAATTAATCACTGAATCTTATGTCTGAAAATTTCTAATACTGTAAAAATACTGTTGCTGACTTCAAAACTAATGTCTTCGGATTTGTCCTAGGTTGTAGTGAGCTTGTGGGCTGCTGGTATCATAGGAAGCTGGTGCAACTTCTTGACTGTTTTATATATTGGTAAGAGATCTCTTATTTTCATTGATAGCAATTTTAATAGTCATGTAGTATTACTTATGCCTTGGGTATCAAACATGAGATTTTTTTCATTTTCCGCCGATATAAGGCTGTCTAATGTATGAGTATCAACAGAATCACTTCTAGATGCATTTAGCTGTGTCCTATGATATCACCTTATAGTTATTATCTAGCACATATAAGATTCCAAAAAGTAGAAATGAGTCCTTTGACTAACTTTATTTGTATATCGGAAATATCCTCTCTGTTTTCTCTATGTAGGGATAAGGACTACGTACACACTACGCTCCCTAGACCCCACATGTGGGATTTCACTGGCTTTGTTGTTGATGACTAACTTTATTGGCTGACTTTTGAATGTCTGAGTTGTTAGTCTAACACAAACAGGATCATATGTTTTAAAGTAGTTCTATTTGTAGTGATTAGCCGTATAATCGTACTCGCACGGTTGAAATTATGACAACTATTGCAAGACTCAATTCCAAGCAAGTTGGGTTTAGAATCCAAGCTGACCATATTACTCCATTTTAAGCTCATCTCAGTCCAACAAAATAAAAAAGAAATAGTACTAGAAGTTTTAAATTCTTTCTACTTCCATATAAATCTATGATAGGATTAAAAGACTCGTAGAAAACTTAGGACCTAAAATGATCGTACTAACATGATTATAACCTAATCCCAACTAGTTTGTATCGCCTTGTACAGTTGAAAATCCATTCCCAAAATATTGGATGTGTTTAATCTACTTTCAGTCAAAAGAGAAGGAAATGGTTTTGGTCTATTCCTGTGATTGTATATTAGTCGCGTTCTATATGTTTAATTTGTTGCAAATATGAAAGAAGGACGTTGTTATCTTGACTATACTTTTGAATTTTGACTTGTGTATAAGGTTTCATTGCTGCCCACACGCTTCCAGTGCTATATGAAAGATATGAAGATGAAGTTGATGGTTTTGTCTATAATGCCCTCGAACAGCTTCGAGGCCATTACAAGAAGCTGGATTCTGGTGTCCTCAGCAAAATACCAAGAGGCAACTTCAGGGGAAAGAAGCTCGACTAGATCATAACGCTAGTAAAAATGTAAACGATCGATCTAGTTGAATGCCAGCTTGTATGCTGAGAATATGAAACTTATTATTCGTGCTTAGGCAACAAATTACTGTATTTATGCTTAGGATTAATCGAGGTGACAACTTTAGTAGATCAAAAGAAAGAAGTGTATTGGACCTTTGCTCACCTTATGTAAATGTTGCATGTACTTGATTGATATTGGCATTTGAAAATAAATTGAGTTTCTGCAGAAAGTTTAAATGGTAAGAACCTGCATGTGTGTATTGTAACCAAAAAGTCACACATTTGTCTAAGTATTATAGGAATAATATTATATGCAATGTCGATGTCTCCTTCGTTTCTTCCCAGTGACTTTCTTTGATATTTCGGGCATAGTTGAGTGACTTTTTTTTAATTACAAAAATTAATCATTACTTAGGTAAGTCGAGTGACTTTTTCAATTAAAAAAATTTAATTATTCTGGTATAATAAAGTGAAAGTCAAGTAACCATCTATGAAATTATCCTTTTTTTCTCTTTCTTTTTCTCCCTTGTTGCCTTCTCTTCCTCTGGAAAACATGTCTGCACAAGATGAGGCAACGAGATTATATGGAATAGAAACCAGTGTATAGATATCATCGTCAACATCCAGAAGTCATATGCTTTGGAAAAAGCTTCATCCTTTTTCATTAATACACACATGAGAGCTAGAAGAGGGAAAGGAGTTCATCGCCAGCAAAATACATCGTGCATACAGGGTTAAGATTTTTTTTTACGGCAAAGGTAAAAAATATCCCTTTACTATATGAAAAGGATCATATATAACCTCCGCTATACTTTCGGTCCATTATAGCCCCGACGTTATAAAATTAGTGCAAAAATACCCCTCCTCCATCATGGCCTTCCACCATGGCAGTCCGTGGCCTGACATTTTGGTGAAGTGGATGCCACGTGACATACCACCGCATTACCCATTTTTGCCCCGCCTCTGATTTCTTCTTCCACCATCACCCACTATTCCTCCCACCCCAACCCAAACCCACCCTGCCATCTTCACCCAATTTTTTTTGAGTTTTTTTTGTTGTATTCCAAATTGTAGATAACTGAAGCTGCAACAGTACTACTCCATTAAACCCATAATCAAGAACTCTAACAATCCAAGGTAAAAATTCATTATCCACATTTACCTTAGTAATTATTGGACAAAACAGAGAAATTGGTAACGTTCTTAACATAAGTATAAGGGCCTTTTTTATAAAATTCTCGTTATGGGATTTTCTTTTATAAAATTCTCGTTAGTTATATTTAAAAAGAAAAAAGGAATCCTTTAGAACCACTGCTTTGAAATTGGGTGTGCTTGAAAAATATTTAGAACTGACATATGAAAGCTTAATCTCTCCCAAAGTGCAAATTCATTAATGAATTCTAGCGCTTTTAAATCACATTCTCGATTTTGGGTCACGGATGGGAAGGATAAAAATTGGGATGAAGATGATTTTGGTGCTATCTGTTAAAGAAGAGTTGGGCTACTGTGATGAAAGGAAGAAAAATAATTTTGTTAATAGTGGTGAAATGGGGGATAAAAAGGATTGTGCTGAAGGTGATTATATTGTTAATGGAGGTGGTGAGTGGAAAACATAGGAGGAGAAAATGAAAGAATCGTGGTTTGAAGGTCAAGAATGGTGATCAGATGATGGTGGAAAAATATTTGTGTGGTGAAGGAGGTGAGGAAATAAAATAGGTTAGGAGTGCTGAGATGCAATCTCACCAAAATGTCATGCATGCCAAGTAGGATGGCGTTGCCACGGGGAAAGCCGTAATGGAAGAGGGGTATTTTTTGCACCAGTTTTATAACGTCGAAAGTTATAATGGCCCGAAAGTATAACGGAGAATATAACTAATCCTTTTCAATCATATAGTAAAGGGGAATTTTTTTCCCTTTTCCTTTTTTTTTAATATATGTATATATAATAGAGTATATGATGAACCCTTTCGATGAAAATCCTATCTCCGACACAGAATACGCATAGTTTTGAATGCAGTCAACTCCCAAAGAGACCCTAGAGAGTGGATATAAGAATTAAGCCTAGATACATCTCTGTCAAATGGGTTTTAAATCTTTTGTTTAAATGTCATTTATTTCTATGCTGTAAATAGGAGTAAGACTATCATATATGAAGAGGTGGAGTTAGGATTTGAAAGTTATAGGTTCGAAGCTCTAACCTTTTAAAGTTATTGGGTTCTAAATTAAAAATTAGTATATATTTGATAAATTTCATAAGTCAAATACAAAGTTTGAACCAAAGTTACTGGATTCGGCCGAACACGTAGCTAATAGGCTAGCTCCGCCCCTGCATATATACAGCTGCCCAACACAACTAAAGAAGGATTGATTTGCAAATTCAGTCTTGAGAAGGAAAACCAAAAATAGAGATACCCAACTTAGCAATTTTGTCAAAGAATTATATCAATTTACATTACTTGCTAAGTTTCATAAACGGTAAAGTATACTCCTTCCGGTCTACTTTAATTGATTTTTTTATTATTTTTACTCATATTAAGAAATTTACCTTTTAACATTAATTAATAATAAAATTGATCATACTAACCTTAATTTGTTTATTAGAAATACAACAAATACTCCTACGCTCTTTAGCCAACTTTAAAAAAAGTTAATTCTTTTCTCATATTTAAAAAAATTAAATATTATGGACCACAAAAAGGCCAAAATATAAATTAAAGTGGATCAGGGGATACCAATTAACCTTGGTGAAGTTACACATTTTCCTGTCAAGTCGTGCACATCTATATGTTCAAATTCCAATACAAAATTTGTTGATAGAATTGGATGGCAACAATTCTTATTAATTCTTCGCACAACTTTTGTGCAGTTGAATAGCTTGTTTGGTCAAGCTTTTCCAATTGTAGAAGCAAAGTGGTTTTTTCTTTCAAAGTTGAAGTGTTTGGTAAAGCTTTTGGAAGAAAAAAAAAAGTGTTTTTGAGGAGTAGCGGAAGCAGTTTTAATTTGGAGAAGCAGAAAAAGGTAGTTTCTCTCCAAAAAATAATTTTTTGAAAAGTACTTTTGAGAAAAAAATGTAGCAGCTTTTAAAAGTTTGGCCAAACAATAATTGCTGCTCAGAAGTGCTTTTCAAATTAATTAGTCAAACACAAACTATATTGTTTAGCCAGGTAGAAGGCATTAGAATATTAAGTGATAGGAAACTAAATGAGAAACTAAAAAGAACAAGAATCTAAGTAATATCCACTAGAATCTCTTTGTTCACTTGGACAAGAACTAGTTAATTGGTGCCTGAACATGCATATATAGTTCTATTATTCTTATCAAAATGTACATAAATAAACATAAGAAGAATGTCATACTAGCTAGGGGTCTATTCTATACTCACATAATTAACAATAATAAAAAGAAATTAAGAGAGAGATAAATCTAGGTTAATGTGAGTGTTTTCCATAGCAGAGTCAAAAAAATTATGATTATCCACAGGCCAAAAATTTCTCTCCTTTTCACAGTATTGTTCCTCCTCCTTTGTCATTCCACTACTTATACTTCCTTCTTCTTCCTGTAAATCACCAAAAGAAAAAAAGGAATTTTAAATATGTACAACATTCACTTTTCTCGATAAGGCTAAAGTAAAGAGTTCAATTTATAAGTTCTATATATTAATGGCGTAAAAAATATTACAAAACCGGGTTACGTACTAATACTTAAATTGCAAGTAAGTTCTATAATAAATATTAATAGGTAACCTGATAAAAATAATAACTAATCTGTTAATTATTATAGGTTCAACTTCACTAATAGTGTAGTGTATATGACTTAACTTCAAAAATAAAGTACAAATTAAGAAGGCCATTTTACCTGGTAGTCATTGTAATGAATATTTTCACCAATTTGGTCAGATGAATTTCTTTCTTTGAGAGAGAATTGGCTTCCACATTCTTTCTGCTTACTGCTCAATCTTTTAGACACAAGCCTGAAGGATGTATGGAAAAAGTTAAATGCCTGTAATATAAGTAACGATGACTAGTCATAGATGATATACAATACAATCAAACCTCTCTATAACAACCTCGCGCGTTTGTCGTAATATCTTTTTGACTGTTATAGTAAAGTGTATAGAGAACATACATGTATTATAACATAACCTGAAAAAATAGTTTTAAAAAGAAATACGGTCGCTATAATGAAGTGTTATTATAAAAAATGGTTATTTTAGAGAGATCTGACTAAAGTTGAATTAATCAAAGCAAGTGTTGTTATCAGGTGGCGAATCTACATGATCTTCTATGGGTGCTCAAGCACCCATTATCTTTGACCAGATTTAGTAGATTTGCATGGCCAATTATAAAAATACTTAAATAAATATTAAGTATATTGAGTGAGCACCCACGACTAAATTCTTTTTTCCTCTTCTTTCAAAATTTTTATTAGCAAGCACCCATATCTTTAAAATTCTGAATCCGCCACCGGTCAGACGACCTATTATGTATATTAGACTTGAATGGAACTAATTAAAACGTGCAGAAAAGTTTCGTTATATAATATGATGCATAAGTAATATTAATAAAATTATTTGAAACTAAAAGAAGTATATGTAAGACTTACAGTGTCGAAGACAAATTGAAATCTGGCATTACAATATGGAGGCTGGGTTGCTCCTTCATGTTTCTATGCATCTGATTTTCAGGAAATTCAAATGGATGAAGATGTTAGCCAAATATACAAAAAAATATGTATATTATATTTATTAGTCAGTTGCCCTTTTTAGATGAATTAATATTGTGAATGATAAAAGATAGAAAAGAAAAATAAAGCTAATTAAAAAAAAAAAAAAAAAAAAAAAAAAAAAAAAAAAAAGAGGTATATGTGGATATTCAGACGGAACAGTTTACAAGAATTTGGATTTCAAATTGTTCATCAACTATTATTCAACAATTTTATAACTCTAGGGTTAGCATCTAGCAGCATGCCTAACCTAGCTAGTCATTTATTTTATTTAAACATCATGTGCAAATTTCCCACAAATTTAGATTTAAAGTTTATGGATTTCTACCATAACCTCAAGTTAGTACACAATAATAATTGAATTTACCATATATATATAGTTAGTTAGTTATAAAACTACTACTATTAGTAAAAAGAAAAAGGGGGGGGGGGTCCAAAATTTTTGGGGCCTAAAGCTATTGCTTTGACGGCCTCACCCTTCAGCCGACACTAACTAACTAACTAACTAACTATTTAATTAGTTAGTTAGTTAGTTAGTTAGTTAGTTAGTGTCGGCTGAAGGGTGAGGCCGTCAAAGCAATAGCTTTAGGCCCCAAAAATTTTGGACCCCCTCCTCCCCTTCTTTTTTTTTACTAATAGTAGTAGTTTTATAAGTAACCACTATTTTTAAAAAAAAAATAAAATTTGAATAGCTTAAAGTAAAACGTATAATTTATAATTAAAAAAAAATTGATTTGTTATTAAAGTTAACCATTAAAATTTGAATAAGCCGAAACATGTGAAAATATTTTTGATTTTCTATTTTGTGAGAAAAATTTGAGATCACTAGAAGATAATAATCTGAAAAATGCCTCAACCTCGATAAAAATATAATAGTCACGCTGATATTGATAGTTTAAACTTAATTTTTCAATTAAAAGTGTTAAATAAAATACTACAAGTAGAAGACAATACTCTAATCAATATACTCGATCAGAAAACAAGACCTAATTTTTTCCCAAACACCTATATTACTCATAGAATAATATTTATATGTATCTACGGAAAAACGTTTATTTAAATTAAAATTGATAAAATTTTACCTAGGATTAACGTCTTAGTAGAGATTAAAAGAATTAGTGGTATGATCAGTTGAAAAAGAACGAATAGAATAAGTTACTAATAAAATTATTAGTAATTTTGCATTTCAAGAAGTTAGGAAAATAGACTTCAAATGAAAAATATAAAGAAAATATTTTAGTAAAAAAAAATTAAGGCCTCTCATCAATATTTGGCTTTAAGCCACCGATAATGTTGAGCCGCCCATAGGTCCAGTCGCGAATATTTGGACCAATCTATAGAGACCTAGGTAAAAATAGCACGGGCTAGCCAGTTTTCGGACTAGTCATTCAAAAATAGCCAGCTTTTGCAAAGTCATCGAAAAAAAGCACCAGTGCTCCAATCTCCAGTATATTATACTGGACCGGTATATTATACTGGAACTCTAGTATATTATACTGGAGTATTTTTCCTGATTTTGAACTGTGTTTTCGTTCAGATTTATCTTTACATGAAAAGTGGCTAAATTTCTATTATTTTTAAAATCGTGACTATTTTTGAATGACTACTTGTAAATCTGACTATTTTTGAATTTCTCCCGAGACCTAGCTCCAATAGGCACGATATTTTTTTGAGTTTGTTGTGCCTGTAATTGAGTTACTTACTAAATAGAACTCCTTCCATTCTAGATTATGTGGATACTTTTTAAGAATAATTTGACTGATTTATACTTATTAATTATTTAATCTTTGACCGTATTAATCTTTTTAATAAATAAGGAAACTTTGTTTAGGTGTCTCTTTATCTATCCATTTAAATTTGGCGAAGAATTTTGGAAAATGCATACTTAATGATAAGTAATCAACTTTCTTTTTTTCTTTTTACTTTCTAGAAAACTAATGATAAGAATGAAGTTGAAAAAAATAATTAATTCTTTTTTATTATTTAAATTTATAAATATTTTGGAATAACTATGTTTGGTAAATATGACAACTAAATGGGAATAAAGAGACAAGAGAGGTTGCTCTGATGGTAAGCAACCTCCACTTCCAATCAAGAGGTTGTGAGTTTTAGTCTCCCTAAGAGCAAGGTGGGAAGTTCTTGAAGGGAAGGATGTCAGGAGTTTATTTGGAAACAGCCTCTCTACCCCAGGGTAAGGGTAAGATCTGCGTATACACTATCCTCCCTAGACCCCACTTGTTGTAAATGGGAATAAAGGAAATAGCTTTCTAAATTTAAAACTTAAACGTCCCATGTAGCTTTAAGATACACTTTTAAAGTCGCACGTATATTTTGATATGTTTAAAACAATATATTTTAAAAATATTAATTCCATGTCTGGTAAAACATAACTACAATACTATATCAACTGAAATGGATGGAGTAATAATTAAGTTATCATTTCCAAATATTAAGAAATTAAATTAGAACTTCTATTAAAACAGGATTTAAATTGTTTACTACACTATAATCAGAGAAAGCTGATGAAATTAAGGGGAAAACTTCCTAGATTTAGCACAAGTCCAGTCTTTCATAGAACTCACCTATTCTATTTATTTATTTATTTTGAAAAAAGAAAAATCATCTATTCTCAAAAAAAAAAAAAAGGAATGTTTAAAGATCATACTGATAATTTTGAAGGGAAAATGATTTTGCTATAATAAACACAGCTTTTAACTCAATATATTCTTTCTTTTTTTCCTTTTTCGTTTTTCTGGTGAAGTTCAATTTCCAAGTTAAAATTTTTCTGGAAACTTTCTATATATGGATATGATGAATTGATGATGAACATTAACTAGCTAGGTTAATTAATAATTTAGATAGTATGTGCAGTAAAATAATACCTGGAGATGGCTCTTAACATGAGAAATCTTCAATCCCTTTATGTCCATCTTCTGCAGAATTCTCTTTGGAGTTGCTTCTGCCAAAATACAATGAAATACTTAATAATTATTCCTTCATCCTCTTATCAAAGTTCAAATATTCCTAATAGATCATATTAACTTGAGCAAGATAATTAATTAACCAAGAGTTTACATAAGCCTTAACTTATATAGTCTCAACCCTAGATGCGAATCTAGAGCGAATTCTAGGTGTTCAATTTTAGTTCATTACTTTCATCTCGAACTATGCTTACACATATAACAAATTCAAGATGTATACAAAACCATCACTCTATATCTTGATTTCACCTCTATTTAATTAGCCCCGAACCCATAATCAACGAGTTCAACTGAACCTAGTAATTTTGACAGAGAGTGTATGTATATATATGTGTGTGAAAAGTCACTAAAATTTCAAAAAACATACTTAGCATGAACCCGTAACATCAAAAGTGTAATGAGTTTAAACATAAAGATTTAACTCATCAAATTCAAATCCTGATCTTTTATCGGGTTTTCGAAAACACAAGAATGAATCAGAAACTTACTGTTTCTTCCACCAAGGCTTTCAACAGATTGAATGAAGAGCTCATGAAGTTGTGGAGTCCATCTTAAACGTGGAGCTAAAGATTTCTTGTATTGTCTGATATCCCTCATTTTTTTAGAGATAAACATTAAGAATATTTGCATAAAGCTAAAGAATTTGCCTTACTTGAGTATATATGTATGCAGTGGTTCCAAACTATAAAAAGAAAGAACAAAAGTACAGATAAGAGTCTGAGATTATGGACTTTTCTTGGTCTGTTTGGACTTTAGGAAACATACTCTAATTCCTCGGCATTTCCTCCTTATTATTTCCAAATGGAACAAAAAAAAAAGAAAAAAAATAGAGTAAAATCTTAAAGCCCTAGACTGGAAAGAAATTTTCTTGAAATAGTGACTTTGGCAATTAATGGTCATTAACGATGTTTAAGACTTTTAAATGCAACCCATTCAAACCGGCCCTATTTTACCTTTTTTCCCCTTTTTAATTGAAGTTATATGCATTGAGGGGTAGAGGCGGAGTCAAGATTTGAAGTTTATTAGTTCTGAATTTGTCACGAAACCCATAGCTTGTTTAGTTATTGGTTTCGCAATTAACTTTTTATACATATTTAATGGATTTTCTGGGACATATACAATGTTCAAACAAAAGTGATTGAGTTCGGCCGAACCTGCACCTAATAGACTAACTCTGTCTCTGTTGACGGGGTATGAATTTTTTACACTATTAGATTAAGTTGACATACAACAACACATTGTTTTTATATCAAGTCTGATATGGTAACTTCAAAATTAGAGCAACAACCTGCTATACTTGGTTAAATTGCACTAACAGTGCAAAATTGGGGTTTTTAACTATCGGTGTATATAAATTAATTACTTTTTTATCGTGCAAAGAAAGTAAAATTATAACGTGGCATAATTCTCTTGCTGTCATAAAGAATTGTATAAGGTGTATTCAAGGATATTGCTTTTAGTCCAATTAGTGTAAAAATTTATATATTGGTGAAAACTTAAAGGAGTGAAACTATAGTTAATATACGTTTGATACCTTATAAAGCACGATGATTAATAAATGATTACATATAGAGCATTGCTTTTGAGAACCTAGGAACAATTAGTGTCACCTAATTTTCTATACTTCTACTGGTCTATATACGAGCCATTAATTGGTAAAATAAGAAAAATATTTTTAAACTATAAATACTTATACGAGAATTGTTCATAGTAAGTAAGCTAATTACTTGAAAAGTAAAACCTGTTTAATTTGCTATAATAAATTTTAATAAGTGAATTATTTACTTGAAAAAGAGTTTAAGTTATATACTATAAGTATAAAAAAATTTAATCCAAAGTATATCGATATACAAGTCTCCTTAAAATATGAGTTTGTAATCGAAGTACGTAGTAAATAAGACAACTTAATAATGTGCTGCATCATGTAAATGTGACTTCATGGTGTGAAAATTTATTATATTAACGGTGTATATAATTTAAATTTCTTAAAAGTATAAGTCATGTAATATGTTAGTTATAACAAGTTAAATTATATTGATAGTGTATTTTTTTTTATATTTTCAATATATAATATTAGATTAAAAATTATGCAAAGTCAAACGTTTGAACCAAGAAAAGGTATTTTTTGCTTTTTCTTCCTTTTAAGAGTATAACCTAAACCTCTCAATATTCTCATGTCAAAAAAAGGCGGTGCCTACTTTTGGACCCCATCTCTTCTCTTCTGTCGTTTACATTTTTTTCAACAGTATGCCAAATTCGACGTGCATGGAAAAACCAAAAAGTTAGCCCTAGAATTTCATGAAAGCAACACATCTTTCTCTTCCACAACAAAAAGCGTTGTTAAATTTATTAGTTCGAAATATTTATTCTTTTAAATTGTTAAATTTAAGCTTAATAATTTGTATGTTTAATAATTTCTTTTAAAAAAAAATTGCAAAGATATAAACTAAAATTATTAGATCGGATTTAATCAAACTCGTAACTCATATGCTAGCTCCGAAAAGAATTAAAAAATGAAGTTCACTTGTTAGTGCATCGTCGTCTAAACCTATAAAGGAAATTTAGTGGCTAGGCTGTCAGGCTCCAACACAAACTACAATGCGTTTCACATTTTGTTTCTCTTTAGCTTTGGAGAAGAAAAAGAAATACTACTACTAAATTGCCGTATCTTGTCATTGGTTTGATTGATGTAAAAGATAGTTTAAAATTTGTGGTTGTTTTCCAATAGGGATATTCATTGTCGTTTGGTAAAGTAATGTTGAATTGTATCGATCATATTATCTAAAAGTTTAAATAATTAAAGGGAGCACATTATTATTTATATTTCTTCAACATGTCCCAGAATGTGCTTGCTTGATTTATATATTTTGATGCGCGTAGCGTATATAAATTCTTTTGATAAAGCATGGCGGTAATAGTCGAACTCATAATTTCTGCCTACTTCAATACAATTTTGAGTTGGGGCCTTGCACACAGACCATTCTAAATTAGGACTTTGTTCAATTATTTGTATTTTATTGACCGGAAAACTTGGAAATTTTTGAAAAAAAAACTTAGTCTTCTTGTCATTACCAAAATTTAACTTATATATATAGATCATTTATTACTGGGTTCAACTTTCAACCATTCATTAGTTGCTAGAAGATGAAAATAATATAAGAATGTTTTCGTAAATTAGGTTATAAGAGCTTTGGACGGTGAAAAGATATTGTCGTACCTAAAATACATATGATTGTTAAAGTGGCATACTAGGTATTCAAATGCAACATTACAATGACAACAAATGTTTTGTTGTATTGGAATTGAATAATTCCTTAAAAAAGACTGTAAAAGTTGCAAATAAGAAAAATAAGTCAAAAGAAGTTGGCATAATCTTACAACTTTAAATGTGAATGTATCTTTATTATAAAATATACCGCATTTGTATCTTTTCTATTTTCAAACCCTTTTTTTAATGAACCTATGTAGAATCCCATGCAAGTAAACCCAAAAATTGTCCTAAATAAGAAAAATGATTAAAAAATAATAAAAAATAGGCTTACTGAAAGACAAAGGAAAGTAATATCTTTGAACAATCTATATATATAT